ACAATGCAGGAAATGACCCTCCACCAAGCAGAATTCATGTGATGTCTGACTCGACCAATCTTGAGGAAAGGAATATACCTTGAATACCAATCACATTCCTGGAAATCTGCCTCCACCAATCAGAACTCAGACATTTTGGCTCTCATATGACACACACACACACTCCACACACACACACACGAAGCAAGGTTCTCCCTGGCCCCATCACCACGGCGTGTCACCCACACCAATCACATAGCACCACTGCTGGCGAACGTTTGCCTGGCGAAGACAAAGTTACGTTTATGTTCGATCTATAAAATAACGCCAACGGGAGCAATCAATTAGTGCCAGGCGTTTCACTTCAGTAATATCCAGGTAATAGACAAGGCAGACGAACATTCGCCCTGACTTTTGTGTGCAGCTGTGTGTGTGTGTGTGTGTGTGTGTGCAGCTGTGTGTGTGTGTGTGTGTGTGTGTGCATGTGTGTGTGTGTGTGTGTGTGTGTGTGTGTGCAGCTGTGTGTGTGTGTGTGTGTGTGTGTGTGTGTGTGTGTGTGTGTGTGTGTGTGTGTGTGTGTGTGTGTGTGTGTGTGTGTGTGTGTGTGTGTGTGTGTAGCTGTGTGTGTGTGTTTGTGTGTGTGTGTGTGTGTGTGTGTGTGTGTGTGTGTGTGGTGTGTGTGTGTGACGGAGACAAATGTGTGGGCGCGTCAGAGAGACCGCCCACTCCATCCCACCTGTCACCACCACCACACACTCAACTAACACCTCCAGAGTGTTTGTAAACAATTTCGATGACTGAAACGTTTGTATAATGGCAGGACTGATGTTGTGGTCACTCTCTTTTCCTGTCTCTCACTGTTATCTGTCTCTATCGTCTCTGTTGTCTCTGTCTATCCCTCTCTCTCTCTTCCATGATCTCTTTCGCCTAACCTAACCTAACCAAAGACCACAACACCCTTCCAGGACCACTTGAGCCATCCCAGGACCCCATACAGCCTGCTCCCCGGCCTCTACCCCCCCCGAGGCCAGCCAACCAGTACACTGACAGACCGACACAAGAGACTCCTGCCCTGGTAACTGTCATGTCCCCAACAGAAGGTTATCAGGTTAATGATGTTCCCCTTACCCCCTGTCTCTCCCCCATCTCCCTTATCCCTATCAGCCTTCCCTGGTTGATGATGTCCCCTTATCCCCCCTGTCTCTCCCTCCCTATCGCCCTTCCCCCTGGTTGATGATGTTTCACCCTCCTCTGTCTCCCCCTCCCTATCTCCTCTTCCCTGGTTGAGATGTTCCTTATCCCACCCCCCTTGTCTCTTCCCCTTTACCCTTCCCTATCTCCTTCCTCCTTTCCCTTTACTCCTCTATCTCCCCTGCCCTTCCTTCCTATTTATCCTGCATATCCCTGTTAGTTCTTCTTGGGAAAAAGAGAGAGAGAGAGAGAGAGAGAGAGAGAGAGAGAGAGAGAGAGAGAGAGAGGCCTTTTATCTCCCCTTCTTCTATCACTTAATCTTTCTTTCATTCCCATTTTTTCTGTGTGTGTGTCTGCTTCTCTCTCTCCCTCCGGTACAGAAGCAGTGCTTCCTTTACCCAACGAAGATCTGAATAGGACTTAGTTCCTGAATTGAAACGTCCAAATAAATGTGTATACAGAGCACGTACTGCGATAAATGGGTGGGGAGGAGGAGGAGGGATGAGGAGGAAAGGGGAGGAGAGAGAAGAGGAGGAGGAGGAGGAGAGAGAAGAAGAGGAGGAAAAAGAGGAAAAGGTTTTTAATACGTATATGACCACACACACACACACACACACACACACCATGTAAACTCCCCAACCCTACGCCGTGTTGTGGTTGGCAACCCTCACTAACTCTGTGTCACGTTAAAGTCTCTCCTTCTTCCCTTCCGTCTCCTCATCTTTCTTTCTCTCATGTCTCACTGTTAATTCTTTCTTCTCTTCCTTTCTTTTCCTACTTCTCTTCTTTTCTTTCTTCCGTCCGTATTACCCCCCCTCTCTCCTTCCCCAAATCTTCCCATATCCAGTTCCAGTAAACATAAACACCAATCAGATGGCTGAAACAAACCTGTATTCTCCGCCCAATCAACAGAGCTGTAACATACCAAACTAACCTTCCAAAAATAAATAATAAACATTACTTAAAAATTATTATACAAAAAATATCACCAAACATGTGTGTGTATGTGTGTGTGTGTGTATGTGTGTGTGTGTGAGTGTGTGTGTGTGTGTGTGTGTGTGTGTGTGTGTGTGTGTGTGTGTGTGTGTGTGTGTGTGTGTGTGTGTGTGTGTGTGTGTGTGTGTGTGTGTACTAGATAAGGGTAGATGGATGTAGGTGGGGTGAGGGGTGTAAGAGGTCAGGCTGTGTGTGACGGGGGAGATACCAGCCAGCATCTACATTCTACAGAGTACACACACACGCACGCACACACACACACACACACACACACACACACACACACACACACACACACCATTTTTCAGGATATTGCTCACAAAGACTAATTCTGCTGGAGGAGAAAAGACGGAGGGAAGGTGAATGAAGGTTGGGGATGGAGGGAGGGAGGGAGGGAATGGAGGAGGGGAGGGGGGAATGAGGGAGGGAGGGGGAGGAGGGGAGGGAGGGGGAAGGAGGAGAAACTAAGAATAATAACCTCATGTTGACGATCCAAACACCAACTAATTTAAGTGACCAACTCAGCGTCCCTCCTCCCACACACACACACACACACATACACACATGAAGTCCTGCATGCCTATATACACATCCACACACAAACAAAGGCAAAATCCACCCAATCAGAAGATGTTTTGCCTCTGACGTCACCGATGAACTGGGATACTCAATAATACGTCATTGATACCAAACTACACTCAATTAATCAACGCCACCTAACGAGTGAAATACGCCGTTTTGACCTCAGTGATTCGCTGTTACTAAACCAATGACATCACGATTCACCATTTCACTTTAGAGTGGCCCTGGTGATGGGTTTGATATCACAATAACATTCACGTTCCATGATTCTCAATTGTGATTGGCTGTAGGCGTGTCTGGTACTCGAGGTTCATTCTCAGTCGATGGGATTGGTCGTCGACATTTAGCCAACAGTGTCAGGGTATGTTAACGTTCGCCACGGCAGGACGGGCGAGGTTAGGTTAGGGTCAAGATAGCCACCCACAACGAGTAATATCTTACAGTATATGTGGCAACAACGGATGTTTTTTTTACACGTGGCACCAGGGAATGAGTCGCTCTGGATTCATCCAATCAGCGGCGAGGCGTTTAATTTGTCGTCTAATCAGCGGCGAGGTGCTTAATTCGTCGTCCAATCAGACTAAACGGACAGGACCTCAGAGAACAGTATATTCCTGTCCCAACAGTGTTTACATCTCTCGTCAGGACCACGTGTTCATTGACTGCCGGTCAGCTGATCTGGTAAACAAAGGTAATGACGAGTCTCCGGACGATGGCTTAGACGCGTTAATAAACAAACTCTGTAGCATTTTACTGAGAGAGAGAGAGAGAGTTCTCCTCTCACCATTACTCCCTCTCCTCACCCCCCCGCCTCTCAGTAATACGGTATTAACTGGATTCACCTCTAGCGCTCAAACAAAGTAGTTCACGCGTCACGTCTCAGCAGCCTCGGCACTCTAATTGGTTGTTTGCCGGGGGGTAGTTAATCTAGAGCCTGGGGAACGAGGGGGTAGAGGAAAGAGAAGGAAGAAAGGAAGGACAAGAAGGAAGAAGAGAAGGAAGAGGGGAGGAGGAGGAGGAGGAGGAGGATGAGGAGGAGGAGGAAGAGGAAGGGCGAGTAAAATAAAATTAACTTATATTGTCACGTCGAAAGTTTACACCACAAGTCTTGATGAGTGTGTGTGTGTGTGTGTGTGTGTGTGTGTGTGTGTGTGTTCTATCCTGCATCAGCATTGAACGTTCCTCAGATCATGACATTATATTGACCTGATACACACACACACACACACACAAACAAATGACTATAGGCCCTAACTCTCTCTCCCTCCCCTCTCCTCACACTCCCATCCTCCAAACCTCTCTCTCCTTCCAACCTTCCTCCCTCACTTGCTCCTTCAACCCTCCCACATTTCTCCCTCCAACCTCCACCCACACCCATCCCTCCTGCCCTCCATCTCCCCACACCCTCCATCTCCCCACACCCCCCATCTCTCCACACCCCCTCCATCTCCTCCCCACACCTCCTCCATCTCCTCCTACACCCTCCATTCCCACACCCCATCTCTCCCTACACCCTCCATCTCCCCCACACCCCTCCATCTCCCCACACCCCTCCATCTCCTCCCACACCCCCTCCATCTCCCCACACCCTCCACCCCCACACCTCCATCTCCTCCCCACTCCTCCATCCTCCCCACACCCCTCCATCTCTCCCCACACCCCCCATCTCCTCCCCACACCCCTCCATCTCCCCTCCCACCCTCCATCTCCCCACACCTCCTCCATCTCCCTACACCCCTCCATCTCCCCCCACACCTCCATCTCCTCCCACACCCTCCATCTCCCACACCTCCCCCATCTCCTCCTACACCTCCATCTCCTCTCACACCCCCATCTCCTCCCACACCCCTCCATCTCCCCCACACCCTCCATCTCCCCCACACCTCCTCCATTCCCCCTCCACACCCCCCTCCATCTCCCTCCTACACCCCTCCATCTCCTCCCACACCTCCTCCATCTCCCCACACCTCCTCCATCTCACACCTCCAGCCCCACACCCATCTCCTCCCACACCTCCTCCATCTCCCCACACCCCTCCAGCCCCCCCCACACCCCCCTCTCTCCACCCCTCCATCTCTCTTCACACATTCTCCCACACCCGCCTCTACAACGCTCAAATTTGATTACCTGTCGACTTAATTGGCTTTTGGACTAATTAGGTTATGAGTCCCATTCAAATTGGGAACTTCAGACCTGGCAGGAAACTATGTGGGGTGAGGACCTGCAGATAACTCCCCAATTTCTGTATCTGTATGACTTTTGACTCTTGTATTAAAAGAAAGAAAGAAAGAAAGAAAGAAAAAATTGAAAGTTGATGCTGTTTATTTTACCGGGTTTAGTTTTGTTAATCCAACGAGGGGAGAGGCGGAGGTACGGGTCTAGAGTACAGGTCTAGAGTACAAGTATAGAGTAGATACGAGTATAGGTACAGTATATATATATATATATATATATATATATATATATATATATATATATATATATATATATATATATATATATATATATATATATATTAACCACTACCATAACTACTATTACTATTATTGTTACCATTATTACTTTATTATTACCACTACCACCAATCCTACTAATGCCAGTATTCACTTACTACTACCACTACTACCACTACTACTACTACTACCACTACTACTACTACTAATACAACCATTACTATCACTAATAATAATAATACTATAATAATAATAATAATAATAATAATAATAATACAAAATAACTAAATAAATAATAATAATATTTTCATCGAAAAACACTGAAGTAGACATAAAACTTGAGAGAGAGAGAGAGAGAGAGAGAGAGAGAGAGAGAGAGAGAGAGAGAGAGAGAGAGAGAGAGAGTATGGGGTGACGCACAGTCTTATTCTCTTGTTTTTATGGTTCAGTTTATTGCCAAATCTCTATGTATAAAGGTTTTCACCAGACGGGAGAATGGGAGAGAGGAGAGGGGAAGGAGGAGAGAGAGAGAGAGAGAGAGAGAGAGAGAGAGAGAGAGAGAGAGAGAGAGAGAGAGAGAGAGAGAGAGGAGGGAAAAGGGGATGGAGGGAGGGAGGGAAGGGAGGTAGAATGAGAGGGAGGAGAGAGAGAGGAGAGGAGGGGAGAGAGAGGAGGAGAAGGAGATGTCTTACTATTCTCCTACATAAGTCATGGAGGACACACACACACACACACACACACACCAGCTATTGACTTCGAAACACTCTATCTGACACACACACACCGATTCGACCTACTGACTCGACCTATACTGTTTCTAACAAGCTATCTGACCTACTGACTCAACCACCTGTCTAGGGTCAATGATTCGACACACTATTCGACCAAAGTGACTCAACCAATGTACACTATTCGACCAAAGTGACTCAACCAATGTACACTATTCGACCAAAATGACTCAACCAATTCGTCTAGGTAAATGATTCGACACACTATTCGACCAGACTGCTAGTGAGACACATTTTCGAATAAGGGTGAACAGGGCTGAGATATTTGTTGCCGAGGAGAACTCAGTCAGTTTAGTCATGCATGTGTAGTGGTGGTGGTGGTGGTGGTAGTGGTGGTGGTAGTAGTGGTGGTGGTAGTAGTGGTGGTGGTAGTAGTGGTGGTGGTGGTGGTGGTGGTGGTGGTGGTGGTGGTGGTGGTGGTGGTGGTGGTGGTGGTGGTGGTGGTGGTGATGGTGGGTGGTAGTGGTGGTGGTAGTGGTGGTGGTAGTGGTGGTGGTGATGGTGGTGGTGTGTGATGTGGGTAATAGTGGTGGTGGTGGTAGTAGTGATGGTGGTAGTGTGGTGGTGGTGATGGTGGTGGTAGTAGTGGTGGTGGTAGTAGTGGTGGGTGGTAGTGATGGTGGTAGTGATGGTGGTGGTGGGGGTGGTGGTGGTAGTGGTGGTGGTAGTGATGGTGGTGAGTGGTGGTGGTGGTAGTGATGGTGGTAGTGATGGTGGTAGTAGTGGTGGTGGTAGTAGTGATGGTGGTAGTAGCGGTGGTGGTAGTAGTGATGGTGGTAGTGGTGGTGTGGTGGTGGTGGTGGTGAGTGATGGTGGTAGTAGTGTGGTGGTAGTGGTGGTGGTGGTGGTGGTGGTGGTGGTGGTGGTGGTGGTGGTGGTGGTGGTGGTGGTGGTGGTGGTAGTGGTGGTGGTGAGTAGTGATGGTGGTAGTAGTGAGTGGTGGTGGTAGTGATGGTGGTGGTGGTAGCGGTGGTAGTAGTGATAGTGGTAGTGGTGGTGGTGATGGTGGTGTGGTAGTGGTGGTGGTGGTAGTAGTGATGGTGGTAGTGGGTGGTGGTGATGGTGGTAGCGGTGGTAGTAGTGATGGTGGTAGTGGTAGTAGTGATGGTGGTAGTGGTGGTAGTGATGGTGGTGGTAGTGGTGGTGGTGGTAGTAGTGATGGTGGTGGTAGTAGTGGTGGTGGTAGTAGTGATGGTGGTAGTAGTAGTGGTGGTGGTAGTGATGGTGGTGTGGTAGGTGGTAGTAGGTGATAGTGGTAGTGGTGGTGGTGATGGTGGTGGTGGTAGTGGTGGTGGTGGTAGTAGTGATGGGTGTGGTGAGTAGTGATGGTAGTGGTAGTGATGGTGGTGGTAGAAGTGATGGTGGTAGTGGTGTTGTAGGTGATGGTGGTGGTGGTAGTGATGGTGGTGGTAGTGATGGTGGTAGTAGTGGTGGTGGTAGTAGTGATGGTGGTAGTAGTGGTGGTAGTAGTGATGGTGGTGGTAGTGATGGTGGTGGTGGTAGCGGTGGTAAGTAGTGGTGGTGTGTAGTGGTGGTGGTGAGTGATGGTGGTAGTGGTGGTGGTAGTAGTGGTGGTGGTAGTAGTGATGGTGGTGGTGGTGGTAGTGGTGGTGGTAGTGATGGTGGTAGTAGTGGTGGTGGTAGTGGTGTGGTGGTGGTGTGGTGGGTGGTGAGTAGTGATGGTGGTAGTGGTGGTGGTGGTGAGTGATGGTGTGGTGGTGGTAGTAGTGGTGGTGGTAGTGATGGTGGTAGTGATGGTGGTGGTGGTAGCGGTGGTAGTAGTGATGAGTGTGAAGTGGTGGTGGTGATGGTGGTGAGGTGGTGGTAGTGGTGGTGGTGGTAGTGATGGTGGTGAGTGTGGTGGTGGTGGTGGTAGCGGTGGTAGTAGTGATGGTGGTGGTGGTGGTGGGTGGTAGTGGTGGTGGTGGTGATGGTGGTAGTGGTGGTGGTAGTAGTGATGGTGGTAGTAGTAGTGGTGGTAGTAGTGATGGTGGTGGTGAGTGATGGTGGTGTGGTGTTGTGGTGGGTAGTAGTGGTGGTGGTGAGTGGTGGTGGTGATGTGGTGGTGGCGTGGTAGTGATGGTGGTAGTGGTGGTGGTGGTGGTGGTGGTGGTGGTGATGGTGGTGGTGGTGGTGGTGGTGGACCTCTAGTGCTGCTTGTGTCTTGTTTTATTTCTTTATTTTTTCTCTCTCTCTCTCTCTCTCTCTTGTTCTATATGTCTGTCTGTCTCTCTCTATCTCTCTCTTGATATTTTCTCTTCACTTCTCTCTTCATATCCCTTCTCGTCCTTCCCTCCTACCTCTTCTTCTCCCTCCTTCCTTTAACTCTCTCCTTCTCCTCCCTCTCTTTCCCTTTTCTTCTCTCCCTTCCTTCCACCTCCCCTATTTCCCCTCCTCCCTCCTCCTCCCTCATCTCATCGCGCCTTCCCCTACCTTTCCCAACTTAGAGAGAGAGAGAGAGAGAGAGAGAGAGAGAGAGAGAGAGAGAGAGAGAGACCTAGTAGGACAGGAAGCAATAAATTGGAAGATAACTCGACGTGTCTAAACAAATCATAATTTTTCAGCCCTCTACGTGTGTATCAGTCACTGCTGGCGTGTGTATGTCGGTGTATGAATGTGTGCGTGTGTGTATGTGTGTGTGTGTGTGTGTATGAAAGGTGTGCGTGTGTGTGTGTGTTGTGTGTGTGTGTGTGTGTATGTGTGTGGTCTTACATATAATCATCAACATCATACAGTATACACACACAAATTCGTAACTCTTTAACATGAAAGTGGTATAGTATGCACACACACACACACACACACACCACTAACGCTATATAAGTATGACAGTATATATAAGTAAGCTGTAAAGTATACCTCTAATAAGGCAGAGCCACCACACCTACACTGGTCACTATACGACGATGACTGACAGTTGTGTATGTCTCCATGTATGTTTGTGACTCAACCAACAGATATACACCGTCAGCTGTCTGTGTATAATGATCAGCTGTCTGTGTATAATGATCAGGTGTCTGTGTATGATGACCAGGTGAGTATGCGGAGAATAATTAAATCCGCCCCGCCCCCACCCGCTAGCACCCCCTTCCCTAACCCCCCACCCCTAGCACCCCCCTTCCCCTAACCCCCCACCCATCTTGACATCACTCCTCCCGCCTAGGTCGCTTGTAAGGCAGAGTGTCAGATCCTGGGTGTGTGTGTGTGTGTGTGTGTGTGTGTGTGTGTGTGTGTGTGTGTGTGTGTGTGTGTGTGTGTAAGTGCTGTTTGTTTTCCCACATTATTGATCCAGCGAGTTGCTTCAGTACTAGCTCATGTAAACCGTAAACGAGAGAGAGAGGGCCGCGCCGCACTACTGTAAGCCAGAGGTTGGAGTGTAAAGCCGCAAGTTGGAGAAAATATCGCCAGGTTGCGCCGGGTTAAAATTAAGCCCGCGTGACCACAACGATGACGTCGAGGGCGACGTCACACGACAGACGGAAGAAGGACGGAGCGCGAGGGTAGGAGGAGGCTGAGAGGAGGGGCTGAAGGAGAGGGAGGCTGAAGGAGAGGGAGGCTGAAGGGGAGGCAAACAAAGACACCTGAGGCCTCGTCAGGGCAAAATGTCTCCCGATTGACGACTTGATAAACCAACGGCTGAAGCAATAATCACTAAGCTCAAATGTCTTACAGCTTTAAAGGTTCAAAGATATCTTCAGCTTAACTATACCAAACAGTTTTTCGACGACTGATAAAACCAAAAACGGCTTAAGCTGATCACAAAGCAAATGTCTTACAGCTTAAAAAATTCAAGGATATCTTCAGTTTATCTAAGTACCTAAAGCATTTTTCGACACGACAGCTTCATAATTTCTAAGCTAAAATTTCTTCTGGTTGACGAACAAAAACACAGTCGTTTTTCTTGATAATTATTGTAACTAAATTGATGTACAGCTAACAATAAACTGGCTACAGCCTAAAAAACTTAGGCAGCTAAAATGTTTGATTCCAGCTTACGACAGCGATATGATAAAGCTTTTAGCGAATAATAACGATCACCAAATGTCTCACAGCTGAAAAACTTTCCAGCTAAATGGAATGACCTTGATAACTACGCAGGAAAAGTGACTTAGCTTGATAAAAGAGCTAAAAGGGACTTAGCTGATAAGAGCTAAAGGGGACTTAGCTTGATAAAAGCAAGGGGACTTAATCTTGATAAGGCAGCTAAAGGTGACTGAGCTTTGTTAATAGACAGGTAAAAGTGACTTAACTTTGATAATAGACACATAAAGTGACTTAGCTTTAATAACAGACAACTAAAGGTTACTTAGCTTTGACAAAAGGAAGCTAAAAGTGACAGACAATTAACTTCAAATAAAATGACTTAAAACCACTTAATGACCCTTTTAACTCACTTCAAGCACTTCCTACTTCCTTACTCACTTATCTACTTCCTCCACTTACTAACTGTCACCTACTTATATAAGTGTCTGGCCTCGTATGGGACGCCATCTTGAGTCTTACCTGTCGAAGGAAGAAGAAAACATTAATTAACATGAATACGAAGACAGTGACACACCGATTAATTATTAGTTCTCCATTAACAGGTGTGTGTGGGGTGGGGGTGGGTGGTGGGGGTGGGGGTGTGTAAGGACAGTGGGATATATAATTATTTTCTTTTAATCTCTTGTCAGTTTATATGTGAGTCAGTCAGTCAGTCAGTCAGTTAATTAGTCAGTAGAGCATTCATTGAGCTTGCTGACGTAGATAATGTATGTATGTTTATCTGTTTTTGTTTTTTGTTGTTTTTTTCATCTCAGGTATTGTACGTTGATGGGGTGATGAAGGGGAGGGGTTAGGAGGGGCAGAGGAGGGGAAAGGGGGAGAGAGAGAGAGAGGAGAGTAGGGAGAAGTGAGAGAACGAGAGAGAGCGAGAGACCAGCGTAGGAGGAGTTAAGGAGGGGGAGAGGGAGGGAAGAAGAGAGGGGCTGGAAAGTGAGGAGAGAGAGAGAGAGAGAGAGAGAGAGAGAGAGAGAGAGAGAGAGAGAGAGAGAGAGAGAGAGAGAGAGAGAGAGAGAGAGAGAGAGAGAGAGAGAGGAGAGAGAGGGGAGGGAGGGGGGGTTAGGGGAGGACAACATTTGGGATTTCCTGACAGCAGGTAACTCTAACTCACCCCCTCCTTCCACCTCCCCAGTCCCTCTACCCCCCCCAACCCTCCCTCTCCCCCACACACCTCCCTGACCCCTCCCTCTCCCCCACACACCTCCCTGACCCTTACTTCCTCCCTCACACCTACACCTCCTCTTATTAAATAAACACTCTAGTCTTACTGCTTAGGAGAGAGAGAGAGAGAGAGAGAGAGAGAGAGAGAGAGAGAGAGAGAGAGAGAGAGAGAGAGAGAGAGAGAGAGAAAGATAAGAGAGAAAATAAGAACAAATAAATGTAAATAACTATAGAATTAGACGCCAATAATGTAGGGAGAAGAGACAGTAACTGATACACCTGACCTTACAAAATAGTTAGGTTAGGTTGAGGTTAGGTTAGGTTAGGTTGAGGTTAGGTTAGGTTAGGTTAGGTTTGAGTTAGAAAACAGAAGGATGAAAGAGTGGACAGACAGACAGACAGACAAACAGAGACAGGCAGACAGAGAGACGGACGAAAACACCCAATCCTAGCACCCTCCCAAAAAAAAATGACTAAGAATAACAAACCATAAAACTCACATAAATAAACCACAACTAAACCAAGAGCTATAACGTGCCTCCAACTACAGCTAAAACCAGAGTTAAACCCATTAAACCAGATAGGAAGGCGGGCACAATAGGGGTCAGAGCACAGGAGGCAGAGCTATCAAGAGAAAGTGAGCAACCAAATCCTCCTGCCTCCCCCACCAAACCCTCTGCCTCACGGACATTAGTAGCTCAGGTAAGTGTCAGGAGAAAGAGACCAAGTTAGTAGTCTTTGAGGTGAGATGGGTGGGAGGAAGGAGAGAGGATGGTGAGAGGAGAGAGGGATGGAGGTAGAGGAGAAGGAGAGAGAGGAAGAAGAAGATGGAGGGAAGGGAGGAGAGGATTTAGTGGAATGGTGTGGGAAGGCATGATGCTTGGTGGTGGGGGTAACCCATCTTACACATACACACACTTCCTCCCCACCCTCCCCCTTCCACAAACACCAAACACTCTTCCCTCCTCACACACTTCTCTCCCACCCTCCCTCCACAAACACTAAACACTCTTCCCCCTCCTACACAATCCTCCCTCCCTCACCCCTCCCCCATAACCCAAGAACCACCTCACCTTCAGACCATCAAAAACCTTCCCGGCATCTTTTTCACCCTCCTGACGACACACGATACCTGCCAACCTGACGAAACTCCAGATGATAAAAAGGTGTTCCGGTGAGACGCATCAATTAAGAGCGATCACTGGTGCTAATTACAGGTGCGAGAGGCCAAAACCTCCTTCATTATAAGTGTCGTCCGAGGGGGAGGTTAATAGGTAGTTGGAGCAGTTAAGTGACTGGAGTGCATATATTTTGTTTATTTATTTATTAATGATTTACTTATTATTGTTATTTCGTCATTATAAACGGTGTGTGTGTGTGTGTGTGTGTGTGTGTGTGTAAAGATAGATAACAGACTTCTATTCTCCCTCCTCCTCCTCTCTCAGACCTCCTTCTCCCCCCCATCCCCCACCTTCTAAGCCCCCATCAACCCTCCTTCTCGTCCCCTCCCTATCCCCCAACTCCCCTCTCACCAGAACTCGACCTGATTTATGGTGCCATCACCAAGCTCCGTCCAAACGATCCATGCACCAGCTTGTTCCCTTCTCTTGCTAGGCCTCACATGAGAGAGAGAGAGAGAGAGAGAGAGAGAGAGAGAGAGAAAAAAGAGAAGAGATTACCCAGTACATACTGTATATCTTTATTTTTTCCACTAGATCCATAGACACACTTTCTCGCCCTCCTCCTAGACACTCCTTTTTTCCCTATGAGATTTTTCCCCATAGACACATTCCTCACCCTCCACACAGACACCCCACCTCCAGACACATTCCTCACCCTCCACACAGACACCCCCCACCCCTCCAGACACATTCCCCACCCACACAGACACCCCCACCCCCAGACACATTCCTCACCCCCACACAGACACCCTCACCCTCCAGACACATTCCCCACCTCCACACAGACACTCCCACCCTCCAGACACATTCCCACCCCTCCACACAGACACCCCACCCCTCCAGACACATTCCTCCCCCTCCACACAGACACCCCACCCTCCAGACACATTCCTCACCCTCCAGACACATTCCTCACCCTCCAGACACATTCCTCACCCTCCACACACAGACACACCCCACCCTCCAGACACACATTCCCCTCCACACAGACACCCCTCCAGACACATTCCCCACCCTCCAACAGACACCTCACCCTCCAGACACATCCCCACCCTCCACAAGACCCCCCACCCTCCACACATCTCACCCCCACACAGACACCCCACCCCCAGACACACATCCCCACCCTCCACACACCCCTCCAGACACATCCCCACCCTCCACACAGACACCCCACCCTCCAGACACATTCCCCACCCTCCACACAGACACCCCCCCACCCTCCAGACATTCCTCACCCTCCACACAGACACCCCACCCTCCAGACACACCTCACCCTCCACACAGACACCTCACCCCCACAGACACATTCCTCACCCTCCACACAGACACCCCACCCCAGACACATTCCTCACCCCCTCCACACAGACACCCCACCCCTCCAGACACATTCCCCACCCTCCACACAGACACCTCACCCTCCAGACACATCTCAACCCCTCCACACAGACACCTCACCCTCCAGACACACCTCACCCTCCACACAGACACCCCACCCCTCCAGACACATCCTCACCCCTCCACACAGACACCCCACCCTCCAGACACATTCCTCACCCCACAGACACCACCCCTCCAGACACATCTCCACACAGACACCCCCACCCCACAGACACATTCCTCACCCTCCACAGACACCCCACCCTCCAGACACATTCCCCACCCACAGACACCCCACCCTCCAGACACATCTCCCCCCCTCCACAGACACCTCACCTCCAGACACATTCCCCACCCCCCACACAGACACCTCACCCCTCCAGACACACTCCTCACCCTCCACACACAGACACCCCACCCTCCAGACACACCTCACCTCCACCCAGACACCTCACCCTCCAGACACATCTCACCCCTCCACACACATTCCACCCTCCAGACACATTCTCACCCCTCCACACAGACACCCCACCCTCCAGACACATTCCCCAACCTCCACACACAGACACCTCACCCTCCACACATTCCTCACCCCTCACAGACAAACCACAGACAAAAGCACAACACAACACCTCACCCAGACCCCACCCAGACCCCACCAGACCCTACCCAGACCCAGACCTCACTCCAGACCCCCACCCAGACCCCACCCACCCCTCACCAGACCCCCCCCAGACCCCACCCAGACCCCCACCCAGACCCCTCACCCAGACCCCACCCAGACCCCCACCCAGACCCCTCACCCCAGACCCCCACACACACACCCCCACTCAGACCCCCACCCAGACCCCCACCCAGACCCTCTCACCCAGACCTCACCCAGACCCTCACCCAGACCCCCACCAGACCCCCACCCAGACCCCACCCAGACCCCCACTCCAGACCCCCCACCCAGACCCCCACCAGACCCCACCCAGACCCCACCCAGACCCCACTCAGACCTCACCCAGACCTCACCCAGACCCCCACCAGACCCCTCACCCAGACCCCAGACCCCACCAGACCCCCCCACCCAGACCCCACTCCAGACCCCCACCCAGACCCCCACCAGACCCCTCACTCAGACCCCTCACCCAGACCCTCACCCAGACCCCTCACCTAGACCCTTCACCCAGACCTCACCCAGACCCCACCCAGACCCTTCACCCAACCCCCACCCAGACCCCCACCCAGACCCCTCACTCAGACCCCACCCAGACCCTCCACCCAGACCCCCACCCAGACCCCTTCCACCCAGACCCCACCCAGACCTCACCCAGACCCCACCCAGACCCCCACCCAGACCCCCACCCAGACCCCCACCAGACCCCCCACCCAGACCTCACCCAGACCCCCCACCAGACCCCCACCCAGACCCCCCCACTCAGACCCCTCACCCAGACCCCCACCCAGACCCCCCACCAGACCCCCACCCAGACCCCTCACCCAGACCCCCCACTCAGACCCCTCACCCAGACCCCCACCCAGACCCCCACCCAGACCCCTCACCCAGACCCCACCCAGACCCCACCCAGACCCTCACCCAGACCCCCACCCAGACCCCTCACTCCAGACCCCTCACCCAGACCCCCCACTCAGACCCCTCACCCAGACCCCTCACCCAGACCCCCACCAGACCCCACCCAGACCTCACCCAGACCCCACTCCAGACCCCTCACCCAGACCTCACCAGACCCCTTCACCAGACCCCCACCCAGACCCCACCAGACCCCCACCAGACCCCTCCACAGACCCCCACTCAGACCCCTCACCCAGACCCCTCACCCAGACCCCTCACCCTAGACCCCCTCATCCAGACCCTCACCTAGACCCCTCACCCAGGTAACCCAATCCCCCACCTGGTTGTCATGGCGACCTGTCAGAGGGACCTGGGCTCACCTATCCATCACACTATGACCTCATCTGGCATTAAATACTCCTCTTACCAGCTGAGAGGGGAGGGAACAAAAAGAGGGAGGGAGAGGGCGGAGGAGAGGGAGGGGAGAGGTGTTTGGTATAGAGAGGGGGAGAGGAAGAGGGATAGGAGAAGGATGGGGCAAAGGAGGGGTGAAAGGTGTAGAGAGGGAGAGAGAGGGAGGAGGAAGAGAGGAGGGTGAGGAAAACGAGGAGGAGAAAGGAGGATGAGGGAAAGAGGGGGGCTATCTTCACCCTTTCCTCCCCCCCCACGCTCCCCATGCCCCCCCTCACGCACGCCCGCAGTAAGGAACATCTGCTGGTGTCATCCTTTACTCTCGCCCTGCACCAAACCCACTGGTGTGTGTGTGTGTGTGTGTGTAATCAGCTTACTTTAAAAATCACACCTAAAGAACACACGCACGTAAAATGTATTACAATCATATTCATTTTTACATACATACATACATACATACATACATCCATACATACATACACATACAATCATCCACCTATACATAAATACAACCATCCACCCATCCATCCATACATACATCCATACATACACACACACCATACATACATCCATACATACATCCATACATATACATCCATACATACATACATTTATACACTGACCATCTACTCTGAGCAGGCAGTGACGATTCCCAGGACAATCTCTCAGGCCTGGTAGAGCTCTAACACAACAGCTGCCAGAGTCAGTACATGATATATCAATAAACAAAGATCTGATATTGCCTTGTCACACACACACACACACACACACACACACACACACACACACACACACACACACACACAAGACCAAATTTCTAGCCATACAGAATTAAGCTTTATTTATAACCACGTCAACCCAATCCAACCACCCAACCACCACACACACACACTAACAATGTTTACACCACCGTAGGGACTAAGTGACAATTACTGAGGTGAGGTGTTTAGCGCTGTCTTGACCTGAAGTTCATCAGTCGGGGCGTGGCTGATGGTCACTCCTCAATCCATCAGTGACCATAGAAGGACAGGAGTAACAGACGGACGGACAGACAGAGATAGACAGAGACAGACAGATGAAAAGGAAGAAGAGGAACAAGTATAAAAAATGGAAGGTATAACAGGCTTTCTCTCCCACTACGAGTCGTTCAGGTTAATTAGTTTTTACCTGTCTGGTCCATAGGTGAGTCACAGAGGGAGGAAGGAGGAAGAGAGAAGGGAGGAGGAGTGACAGGAAGGAGAGGAGAAAGTGAAAGGGAGGAGGGAAGATAAGAAGAGGAGGGAGAGGGATAAGAAGGTGAGAGAAAGAAAGGAGGGGAAGAGAGGGAAGAGCAAAGAGAAATAATAGAGAGAGAGAGAAATGAGAAGGTGAAAAAGAAGAAGGGAAAACAGAAGAGAGAGAGAAAAAAAAAAAAAAAAAAATTTCCTCATTTAAGCAGTCAATTAATTATCCGGTACCTGGTGACGGCACACACTCAATTCAATCCAGATAAAAGGAAAAAATACTAATTTCCTAACAACCTCTGCTGCTGTGACCTGTAGAAACAACCTCTTAATAAAACACAACAGACAAGCAACGCAACAACACAACCCTGATCAACACATAAAGTAAACATTCAATATCAGAGTAATACATTAAACATTCCATAAACATAATAACATATATCCTGTAAACCTATTGAGAGGAGTAAACATTAACACATCAAACATTACAGAAACACATTAACATACAACCATTAACAACAACATTCAACATTTCTTTTTCATCTTATTCATAACCAAACATGTAAACATCAACACAGCCCCCCCAAAACAACACACACACACACACACACACACACACACACACACACACAGAAAAGGTTAATTTTTATCATCACTACAGGTCTGATAAAACACCATCTCTGAACACATAAAGAGACCTTAAGGAATTATCTCTCTATCTCTCTCTCACTGTCTGTCTATATCTCACTCTCCGTATCTCTAACTTACTATATCTGTCTTTCTGTCTCTCTCTCTGTCTCTCTAAGTCTGTCTGTCTGTCTGTCTTTCACTCTCTCTGTATATTTTAACTAGCTATCTCTTTCTCTCTCTCTCTCTCTGTTTGTCTCCCTCTTTCTCTCACTCACTATTTCTGTCTCTTCCTCTCTCTATCACACCGTATCTCTAACTCACTCACTATCTCTTTCTCTCTCTGTCTGTGTTCCCCTTTCTCTCTCTCTCTCTCTCTCACTGTATTCATCTTTCTCTCTGTTTCTCTCTTCGTATCTCTAACTAAACTCACTTTCTCTGTCTGGACCTCTCTTTCTCTCACTCACTATCTCTCTCACTCACTATCTCTCTCACCACTATCTCACCCAACACACGCTGGTCCTGCCCCTCCAAAAACAAGATAATCCGGGTCATTCGTGATGCTCAAATGCAGTTGGCAGGAGGGCGAGGGTGGATCCTGTAGGAGGGAAGGAGGGTGGATCCTGTAGGAGAGGAGGGTGGATCCTGTAGGAGGGCGAGGGTGATCCTGTAGGAGGCGAGGGTGGATCCTGTAGGAGGGCGAGGGGGATCCTGTAGGAGGGCGAGGTGGATCCTGTAGGAGGGCGAGGTGGATCCTGTAGGAGGGCGAGGGTGGATCCTGTAGGAGGGTGAGGATCTCTACAGTCCACTCTAATAGAATCCTGTGACCTCTGAAATCATGAGGATTGTGAATGTTTGTGTTCGAATCCTGTGATGAATCCTATGAACGACTTTAGGAATTCTTTACAGGGGTCCCATGTATGACTGTTGGAACTTTGAGGAATCCTATGAACGCGTCTATTAGAATCTGAGGGGGGATCTTATGAATACATGTTAGGAAATCAAGAATCTTCAATGTCAAAGAGGAAGGAGGAGGAGGAGGAGGAGGAGGAGGAGGAGGAGGAGGAGGAGGAGGAGGAGGAGGAGGAGGAGGAGGAGGAGATGAATGGAAAAGGAGCAGGAAGGGAGAAGGAGGAGCAGGAGGAGGAGTAAGGAAGAGAAGATGGAAGAGGAAAGGAGATGCAGAAACAGGAAAAAGAAGAAGAAGAAGAAGAAGAAGAAGAAGAAGAAGAAGAAGAAGAAGAAGAAGCCTCTACCCCGCCACACACACACACACACACACACAGGTAAAGTACAGTCTGTAATATAATCCCTGATGTATACCTGTATTATCTCCCTGTCACCTGACCTCCTGTCATGGCGTGTGTGACAGATGACCTCCATGACACATAACTGACATGACACTTGGTATTCATTAGTACATGACATGATTATTCTGGTATAATATATTTTTGACACTGGCCTTCTGACACATTTGCATGACACTTCACCTGCGACACAATCCATATGACACTTGACCCTTGACACAGAACTCACATGACACTAAACCTCTTTAACACAGAACTCACACATACCACAGTTCATTTACTGACACACACACTTAGCCCTCTGACACAGACACAAGCCACTCTGACACAAGCCTTCTGACCCGATTTACACACTCGAACCATATGCCACGAATAAAATCCTCCCCGACATTTCACGACTTGCCCACAGACGGCCACCCGATGCATCAATGACACGCGACACCCATCTGACACACACACTGCAGGTGTCATGCCATGAGGAGAGTTTAAGACACAGGTCGTCCACAACAGATGGTGAGGTGGGGGAGGTGGTGAGGAGGAGCAATACGCACCGAACGGAAGCATACTGAT